AGTTCATCGAGAAACTAATCAATATTATTATTTCTACGTATTTTTACATTCTTGCTGAAAATTTACATATCAAAAAAACTTTACGGTAAAAACTACTTTTGTGACAATTTGAATAATATAACAATATTTTATTAAAAAAAAATTTTATTGTTTAGCAAATTTTGTAGGGAACACGAATACCGATGCTTCAACAACAACAACAACAACTCCAACAACAACAACAACAACAACAACAACAACAACAACAACAACTCCAACAACAACAGCAGCAACGATATGCGAATGATTTTCAACTTAGCAATATTATTAAAACGAATAATACTAATAATAATAATAATAATAATAATAGTGGTGCTGTATATACAATAGCAACAACTCAAAATAACAACAATAATGTTACTATAAGCAGTATATTTCCTTGGATAACATCTACGATGATAACAACAATGGCAACAACAACAACAGCAGCAACAACAACAACAACAACAACAACAACAATGCAACAAAGATTTCAATCATCATTTAACATCATGGAACAAATTAGTAATACGAATGATTCTATTCAAGATCTTAGTCAACAACGAAATATTAATAATAACGAACATCAGGTAATATTTAAAATTAAAATTGTCGTTATTTTAATTGAAATTTTAACTATCTTCTTGTATAATTTATCATAATTTGCATTTTTATTATTTACTTGTTTACTTTCTTCTTTTTTGTAATAATTAATTTTTACTAACTTATTAGTCTTATTTATTTTCCACATTCTTTCTTTTCTTTGCCAAAAATTACAATTATTCATCTATCCCTATTTTTTCTTTTTTTTTTCTTTTTTCCTTTATTTTCATGAAATATATAATATTTCAAAATCAATAACCTTATTCTTATCCTACCGTAGGCAAAGATTTAATAACAATAGCATGAAACCATAATAACACATTTCAGATTAAAATTAAAATCTGTTTTTCTTGTTTTTTTTTACAATATTTTTGTAAACAACTTCTTTCTGCGAGATTTATTATTACTATTTTTTGGGTTATATTTCTCACTAATGATTGGATAAAAGGAAGGGGAAGGTGGAGTTTTGTTTTTATTATTCATATTTCAATTTCAAATTTTCTTCTGTATTCCTTTTTTTTCTCTTTCTCTCTTTCTTCTTCCGTTTTATTTTATCGAAAAGTTAGATTTTTACTTTATCATTTTCTCTTTTTTTCTTTTTTGTAACATTATTTCTTGAAAAATTAATTTTTTACAATTAAAATTTCTTTTAAAGTAAATTTGTTTACATTTTCATTCATTTATTAGATAAGTAATTTTTCTATTGAAAATTTTAAAAAAGACCATATTTTGTTTTTTTAAGAACATGAAATTTTAATTATTTAATTATTAAATGCAGCCATTATTTCGTTACTCAGTTATCGAAATTTTGATATTTCAGGAATTTGTAACATCAACTAATATACAATCATCAATAACACATATGAATGATGATGTTAAAACTAGTAGTGATTATTACAAGAATGAAACATTAGCAACGGTAATTAATCCAGTAAATGATGGTGGTGATGATGATGATGGTGATGATGATGATGATGATGATGATGGTGATGGTGTTGGAACAACTACAATGACCATTGATGGTCAATCATGTAAGCTAAATGTTGATGATGATAAAATTGATGATAATGGTACAACATCATATTTAAAGGTTTGTTTAATTTTATGATGCTTATTGATTTCATATTTATTAGTATTTTTTTTTTAGAAAATAAAAAATGAAACCGAAATTATGAAAGTATGTTTAATTATAAATGAAGTATAAAAATTATTAAAAATGAAAAAAGAAAAAGAAGGAAATGACATATATTTAACAAATAACAATAACATAAATTTATTAGTAATTAATTAATTTGTAATGATAGGAAGAAAATAGTATGAGTGAAACAAGTCCAACTCCAAGTGTATCATTCACCGGTGGTGGTTGTGGTAATAGTGGTAATAGTGGTAGCAGTTCATCAAGGCGCAAATGTTTTGCACCACAACGGCAACCAATTGATATCGATGATGAATGTAATCCACAAATTGGTTTGTTTTCATTATTTCTGCTTTTTCTTTTTATTAAATTTTCAAATTTTGAAAAATTTCAATTACTTTAAATTATTATAAAATTTTCAAAATTTAATTCGATACTTATGCTTTTCTTTTCAGAACAAAATGAAGATTTATTGGAAGATGATAAGACAGTAAATAAAGGAAATATCGAAAAATCACCTGAAGCAAAAGTGATTAATGAAGCACCGAAAAATGTTTTAGCTGCAAGTTTAGCTGCTAATATTAACCCCACAGGTAAATGGATATATATATATATATATATATATATATATATATATATATATATATATATATATTATTATT